ACCATCCATCCCCATCTCATCATGCCATCACCATCCATTCATTCCATCATCCATCATCATCCATCATATCCATCTCCTCCATTAAACATCCTCATCCTGCCCCACCACATCCATCATTCTAATCCCCATCCATGCCATCCATCCATCCTCATCATCCATTCATCCTTCCATCCTCATATCCATCCATCCATGCCATCATCATCCATCCATCCATCCATGCCATCCATGCATCGCCATATCCAATCTCCACATCCATCCATCCATCCATCCATCCATCCATCTATCCAGGCATCCATGTATCCATCCAATTTTAGAGTTTATGAGGGTTGCGAAGATAAATAATGTCAAGCGATGGCCTCGAAGAGAAGTTTCGTTTTAATACGAACAAGGAGCTGATCGGATTTCAGGCGCAATTTCTACATTCATACAGGCGGGCCATTCCTAGCTAGCTAGCGCCATAGACGACCACCATTCTTTTTGTCGTCTCTGCGGAGCATGCTAGCTGAGTTTAACATTTAACATTTAACATTTAACATTATTAGTAGATTATGCACCAGCAAGAATCATGTTTGCCAGCAGCGAAACAGAAGAGCGAGAGAGGTAACGTGATATGGAAAAGATAAAATGGGAGAGAGAGTGTGCTAAAAGGCACAGACAGCGAAGAGAGTGAGAGAGAGAAGAGGAGAGAGAGAGTAGAGAGAGAGAGAGAGAGAGAGAGGAGAGAGAGAAGAGAGAGAGAGAGAGAGAGAGATGTTTCTCTCAGCCCCTCTCACTTTTGCTCTCGTACCGAAAGTGTAATCCCTGAAGGGGCCTCAAATGAAACTCGCACAGACACAGAGGGTGAGTGAGTGAGTGAGTGAGTTAGAGTGAGTGAGTGAGTGAGTGAGTGAAGTGAGGTGGTGTAGTGAGTAGTGAGTGGTGAGTGAAGTGAGTGAGGAGTGAGTGTGAGTGAGTGGAGTGAGTGAGTGAGTGAGGGTGGAGTGAGTGCGTGAGTGAGTAGTAGAAGTGAGTGATGAGTGAGTGTAGTGGGTGAGTGAGTGAGTGAGTGAGTGAGTGAGTGAGTGAGTGAGTGAGTGAGTGAGTAGTGAGTTAGTTGAGTATGTGAGTGAGGTGAGTAATAGTGTGAGTGAGGAGTGAATGATAATGAGTGAATGAATGAGAGAATGAGCGAAGAGAGAAAGATATAGAGACA